TAAAACAACATAAACAATATAAAAAACTTGACAAATAAAACCAACCAAACAGCCAATTTTGGCTATAAACAATAGCAAATCCGTCATTTTAAACTTAAAAATAATAAAATAAAATAAATGAGCTGTTTAGTCTTCTGTCATTATACAGTTTTGTGACAGTTTTACAGAAAAACGTTATTTAATCAAAAGTGCACATTGTGTTTTCCTGTATTTCTGGTCCAGTGTCTGTCTTCTGCAGGCATTGATCTGTTCATGATTGGAAAAATAGATCAGTCAAGAAAAACAGTGTACACCCACCAAACCCCACTCACCAAACACATCCTCTAACTGAGCAGCTACAGATTGTGTGGAAACCTTTTCTACTTGTTTTATAGCTTTCTGTCTCTCTCCCCTTCTTTCTGAGGAATTGACTGTTTTCCGACAAGTTCATATTTATTCATAAATTCCCTCCTCACAATAAACTATTTAGAGAACCTCTTCAACTTACAAGCAATTTGTAAACTTTCATCCATTTAAGCTGAGCACCTCTTATTAAAAAAGTCACACGATATAGATGAGTAACTGGCATTTTGGCATGAAAAGCTAACCATCTGACATAAGTTACAGTAAAAAACTGGTAATGATGAATCAGTTCCCTTTTTGACTTCCTTCCCCTGGTGCCCTCACTCCCTTTCTCACACATTTCACATCGAAACTCCACATGAGTTTGGAAAAGTTACGTAACCTTTACTTTACTTTTACAGATTGTGAAAAACCAGGCCAGCGGACTTTGGTAAAAGTGTTTTATTTTCCCTGCTTCTGTGTGGGCACATTCCAAAGGGGTGCGTTGTGCTTCCTTTGGGCAGAAGAGTGTGTGCAGGACTTGGCTGTAAACAGGAGCCGGATACAAGCTGCTCATCAGGTCTGATGAGCAGCTTGTATGTTTTGGATTTATCTGTGCTAAATCCAAAACTTCAAACCACAACACAGACCTGGTTTAACACATTCTGTCTCAGTATTGTCAGCCCGATTCTTTAGTTGGAGACCTGAGAACAAACCAGAGTGGATCAAAAGTATAAAATTACATCTATTAGGTCACAGTAAAGTATATCAGATGGGCTCTAACAGACAAAAACCTGAACAGGCCAGGTCCTAATTAATGCAGGTAACCTTGGAATGTGGTAACAAAGTTTTTGTGTGTGTGTGTTGACCTAATGAAGAGTGTCTAATGTAACAGAAAGAGAGAGAAAAAGGGAGAATCTGTGGACACAAAAATATAGTTCTAAATAGTTCTAAAAGGAATAAGACAACCAGTCATTTACATAGATTATGTGATAGCATACAATGCTAAAGTTAGT